TATATTAATATATTTATATATTAATATATTTATATATTAATATATTTATATATTTATATTTTGATATATATATATATATATATATATATTGATATATTTATATATTTATTTATATCCTTATACATTTATATCTTTATATATTTGAAAAAAAAGATAAAAATTTAAATATTAAATTTTAAAAATAATATTATATTTTTAAAAATAAATATTAGAAAAAGATTTAAAAATATATATAAATTATATTTACATGTACAAAATATTAAAGATATATATTTATATCTTTACATATTTATATCTTTATATCTTTATATATATTTATATCTTTATATCTTTACATATATTTATATCTTTATATCTTTATATATTTACATCTTTATATATATATATATATATATATATATATATATATATATATATCTTTATATATTTATAAAATCTATAGATACAAATATATTTATATATTTTAATATATATTAATATATTCATATATTTATATATTTATATATTTATATATTTATATATATATTACATATTTATATATTTATATATATATTTATATATTTATATATTTATATACTAATATACCATTATATTATTTTCATTATATATAAATTACAAAACTAATAATTTTTAAAAAATTTAATCATAAATTTTTAACTTATATATTACAAAATATTTTTTAATACTTTAATAAATATAACTTTTTTTAAATATTTTCATTAATTTAAAGTATAACTTTTAATATTTTTTAGTATTTTTTTAAATGTAGATATTTTTAATATTTTGGACATATAAATATAATTTATACATATTTTTAAACCTTTTTCTAATATTTGTTTTTAAAAATATAACATCATTTTTAAAATTTTATAGATTTATTTCCAATCTATAATTTGAGTTTTTTAAAATGTTTATTTTCAATCTATAATTTGACAGAATTCACATAGAAATGCATTATATGTTATTTTGAATATTTTGAAAATTTAATCGATCATCATCAAAACTTACATTAACTATTTTTTTGAATATTATGTTTTTAAATTTGGTAATACAGAAAACGTTTCAGAAAGAAAAATGTTAAATACTTTTAAATATTAAAATTGACTTTATAAAAAATTAGGAAAAAAAATTAATCAAAAAGAGTTCAAAAATTCTTTAAATTTAGTATTTAGAAACTAAAATTATAGTTTCTCTGTTTTAAAAAATTAAAATAAATATTTAAAAATAAAAATAAAAACTATTATTATGTTAAATTTGTTAAAAGTATAATTAAATATCTATTTTCTTCAATTTTTCTTTTTTTAACTTCTCAATTCTGCATTTTTGTCAATTCCATCATTATATTATCATCCTCATCTCCTCCCATGTTCTACTTTATGTTTACAATAATTAATATTCTTAAATAATTTATATTTTTATTTATAATTTTTTAATATATATTTGAGAAATTAATCAATTATAATCTATTATTTGAAAAACTAATCAATTCTAATCAATTATTTAGAAAACTAATCGATTATAATTAATTATTTGAAAAAATTATTCAATATGATCAGTTATTTGAAAATTTAATCGATCATAATGGTTGTATATGATAGCGGTTCCAGTGGAACCGCTCTTAAAACAGAACATCTAATAGCGGTTAAACCTTAACCGCTATCTAAAATACAGTTTAGATAGCGGTTAACGTGGAACCGCTATCTAAAATATAGTTTATATTAACTATTTTTTTGAATATTATGTTTTTAAATTTGGTAATACAGAAAACATTTCAGAAAGCAAAATGTTAAATACTTTTAAATATTAAAATTGACTTTATAAAAAATTAGGAAAAAAAATAATCAAAAAGAGTTCAAAAATGTATTATAATATTTTCAGTTTTAGTTTAATTATATTTTTCATTCTCAAAGTAGAAAAATATATTGTAATTATTTTAATTTAATAAAATCTAATTTAAATTTTTAATACTAAAATTAAAAGATTAAATAATAATAAATTTAATTCTTTAAATTTAGTATTTAGAAACTAAAATTATATTTTCTCTGTTTTAAAAAATTAAAATAAATATTTAAAAATAAAAATCAAAACTAGTTTTATCTTAAATTTATTAAAAGTATAATTAAATCTATATTTTCTTAATTTTTTTTGTTTTAAACTTCTCAATTCTACATTTTTGCAAATTCTATCATTATATTATCATCCTCATCTCCTCCCATGTTCTACTTTATCTTTACAATAGTTAATATTCTTAAATAATTTATATTTTTATTTATAATTTTTTAATATATATTTGAGAAATTAATCAATTATAATCTATTATTTGACAAACTAATCAATTCTAATCAACTATTTAGAAATGTAATCGATTATAATTAATTATTTGAAAAAATTATCAAATATGATCGATCATTTGAAAATTTAATCGATCATAATCAAAAAATGTGGTTGTATATGATAGCGGTTCCATCTGAACCGCTCTTACAAGTGAACTTCTAATAGCGGTTATCGTGGAACCGCTATTATATATTTTCAAATATGATCGATCATTTCAAAATATAATCGATCATAATGAAAACTTACATTAACTATTTTTTTATGTTTTTAAATTTGCTATTAGAGAAAACGTTTCAGAATTCAAAATGTTAAATACTTTTAAATATTAAAATTAACTTTACCAAAAATTAGGAAAAAAAATAATCCAAAAGAGTTCAAAAATGTATTATAATATTGTCAATTTTGAGTTTAATTATATTTTTCATTCTCAAAGTAGAAAAATATATTGTAATTATTTTAATTTAATAAAATATAATTTAAATTTTTAATACTAAAATTAAAAGATTAAATAATAATAAATTTAATTCTTTAAATTTAGTATTTAGAAACTAAAATTATAGTTTCTCTGTTTTAAAAAATTAAAATAAATATTTAAAAATAAAAATCAAAACTAGTATTATCTTAAATTTATTAAATGTATAATTAAATCTCTATTTTCTTAAATTTTTCTTTTAAAACTTCTCAATTCTACATTTTTGTAAATTCTATCATTATATTATCATCCTCATCTTCTCTCATGTTCTACTTTATCTTTACAATAGTTAATATTCTTAAATAATTTATATTTTTATTTATAATTTTTTAATATATATTTGAGAAATTAATCAATTATAATCTATTATTTGAAAAACTAATCAATTCTAATCAATTATTTAGAAAACTAATCAATTATAATTAATTATTTGAAAAAATTATTGAATATAATCGATTAATTAAAAATTTAATCGATCATAATCAAAAAATGTGGTTGTATATGATAGCGGTTCCACTTGAACCGCTCTTAAAAGTGAACATCTAATAGTGGTTAAACCTTAACCGCTATCTAACTATATTTTAGATAGCGGTTCACTTGGAACCGCTATTATATGTTCACTTTTAAGAGCGGTGAAAATATTAACCGCTCTTAAAAGTGACAAATATTTTATTTATTTATTGACACATTTTTGCATCAGATATCGCTCGAGCGAGACTAGTGTCGCTCAAGCGAAATACAACCCGAGAATGTCAATTTTGTGCAGGTGGCGTCGCTCGAGCGATGTTATTTTCGCTTGAGCGAATGTTGACCTACGAAATACGGACCAGTATCTTTCACTTCGTGTTCATCTTAGTCTACAATTTTCATGAATTTATTGTTGAATAATTGGTTCGTTAGCTGTTTAATTTGTAAATAGTTTGTTATAAAAGTGGTGTTGAAAGTGTTTTTCCACTTGTTGGGTTACAATATACAAATCTAGTCGACAATAGTTTAATTAAATAATATATTTATTATCTAATGTATATTGATATAAAATTTTTTTGGTATATCAATTATATGACAACAACCATGATTAAGTAATTAATAATAATAAAGCAATAAATTTAAAAATTAGATTAAAAATAAAGTATTATAAAATAAAATTGTAATAATTTGATTAAAATTGTATTTTTTTTAATTAATTAAGTTAATGAGGAATTAAAATGTGATAATTTGATGTGTTTAATTTTTTTAATATAAATTTTTAAAATATAATTTAATTTCAATTGAAATTTTCAATTGAAAAATAAATTCAAGAATATTTGTTATTAAACTTTTCTTAAACAATGTATTGAATAGTTAACATCACTTTAGTCTTAATTTATTACAATTTAAATTTTTAATAAATTTGATTTATTACAATTCATTTTGTTAATATTGAGACCAAAGTTTATTTTTAAAGTATATTTTAAAAATTAAATTATTTTTAAAAAATAAATTACTTTTAAAAAATAAATTGTAAAAAATATACTAAAACAATTAAAGTATATTTATAAAAAAAATTTAAATATAATAAAAAAAGAATATTCATTAGCGATCGATTTTAATTCGGTCGCTAAATCGATCGCTAAATGATTTTTTTATTTTAGTATGAAATAGCCATCGATTTAGCGATCGAAATTTTGCGACGCAAAATATTGGTCGCTATTTCGGTCGCTAAATAAAAAAGTGAAAACCAAATCATATTTTGATCGCTAAATCGGTCTCTAATTGCGACTGAATTAAAGTGGTTGCTGAATCGGTCGCTAATTGCGACCGAATTAAAGTGGTCGCTAAATCGGTCGCTAATTGCGACCGAATTAAAGTGGTCGCTGAATCGGTCGCTAATTGCGACCAAAATTAAATCGGTCGCTAATTTCGGTGGCTAAACGTGTTTTTTCTTGTAGTGAACCTTAAAAAATTACAATGATTAATTACATATTTACCTTTAAGTTAAACCTTAAAAAATTACAATGATTAAATTACATATTTACCATACTCTCATTAGTGAGAAATGTAATTAGAAGAAAAAAAAAGAACAAATTCTTACAGAAATTCCAGTGAAGATTAAAATATCATATGAGTGAGAAGATAGAATAAAATGTTATTGATTAAAATATCCTACTTCATGAACTAGCTTAAAAGGAAAAATAAAATAAAAAGTAGTACAAAATCAATTGACCTGGAAGAAAGCTATAATAGGATCATAAATAACTTGTCTGACATTGGTAGCAATGAAAAAATCAACGTGAGCATATTCTGGATTAAACAACACTACGAGCTTGTTTGGATCATGATTTTTGAGGTCATTGAGCAAGATCTGCACACCCTTAACTTCAGATAGCGAATCTAACCCTCCATAGCTCAGAAAAAGGGGAAATTCATTTGGAATTGTTGTCAAGTCATAACGAGGAGGAAATGGTTTTCCATAATGCTGCATGTTTTGTATCAGATTACCATAATCATACTTTGCTATAGTTCCTGTTCTTATCACTACTCAAAAGTCAGAAGAAGAAACACAAAAGATTGGAGTCAATAAGAAATTATTATATATGAAGCATAAGTTCTGAAATATAATCTAATATAGAAAACATTATGAGGTGGTAGCAGGTTAATATTCAATAAATAGGATATAAACATGGAGACTAGATTACAGCACAAAATCTAGGGTATTACATGTACAGTGGATACTTACTTTGACTTAGATGGATCAAGTTCATAGTTGCCGTTGACTGTAGTCCATGATAAAGAAAGGTATTTAATATGGTGGAATTTAAGCAGCAATTTGGACCTATAATTTTAAGATAAACAATATCAAAACAGTACCACTTTATAATATTCTTGATATTGGCAATAGTCTTTATTTATGGTACCTGTGATAAATGTCAAAATCTTTGAGCAGTCAATCTTTAAAGTATTGCAGAGGCCTTGGACTAATCTGGTAGCAGCTTCCCTGTTCATTAGAAGATTGAAAGCATTTCACTTTTAATTTTTTACATTAAAAATTGTGAAGTTCAAGGTTAACAGTGTGTTTTTATGTTACCCGTTTGGAATGAATTCATGGACTCCTATCAAGTTTAGATTCTGTCACATCCGGAGGAAAAATTCAAATTGATGCATTGATATTGAATATTGTGGTATATGATGTTGTTTATGTCTCACCTCAGCCGAAAGGGTGTCTGCAAAAACTCTTGCTACAGGCGATGAAAGTAGACGCAAATGAGCAATTGGGGAAAGTAATGCAGCTGACCTCAACATGTCATACACTTGGCCTCTAGAGAAAGCAGCAAAAGCCATTAGGGTTCCCTGAAATTTAAACGAAATAACTTTTTTATGAATACATACTTTCATAGGTTAGATTTAATGGTACAAAATGCAGACTTTTTGGATTTAATAACAATGGATTTGAAGGAGTGAAAAAGAGGTGACGTTGTTTAAATTGAAAGAAATATAATTGAATAAAAAATTAAAATAATAATTTAAAAATACTCTGTTTTGATAAAAGATAAAAATAAGTATAAACTAGAATTGTGATATAATTTAATTTAAATTAATTAATTAATTTATATTATATATAAAATTATGACATATATTAAAATTATTTTATATAAAAAATATAAAAATAACTTATGATTATTAATTACAAATCATATATGAATTATAATTAGTGATTATTTAAAAATTTTAAAATTACTAAAAATTATTTTTTTAAAATAATTATTAATTACAAATCATGATTTTTCATTTCAAGTACTAATTAAAAAATAAAATATAATAAAATAATTCATAATAAAAATAAAATCAGTTACATATTAAAAAAATTAAATTTATATTCAACTATAATTTTGATTTTATTATAATAAAAAAATATAAAATTATGTATAACTATAATTAGATATATTATTAACATTAATTTATATATAATAAATATAAAAATATTTTTTAATATAATCAATTAGTTATATTATATAATTGATTATAAAAATTCATTTAATATATTAGATCTCTTCAAAATTTTATGATTCAAGTATTTTATTTATAAAACTATATTCAAAATATAGTTACATGGTTATATACATATATAAAATAATTAACATAAGTTTATGTTCAAAATAATAATTTAATATAAACAAAACTGAATATAAATAAAAAAATTAACACGTAATGAAAGATAGGATTATACATTAATAAAAAAAATATAAAATTATATATATATATATATATATATATATATATAATATAGACGTCAAAAAATAAAAGTATAATATTATATAGATTATAGATAAAAATTTATGAAATGAGATAATACATCTCAGGGTAATATAGATAATAAAGATGATGTAGATAACGCACTTTTGTCCCGCAAACTTTATTCTTAAATCAACACAAATCATTTAATATAAAAATAAATTTTCTCTTCAAATCTACCCGTCAATTTTTTATAACAGTAAAATTGTAGATCCAAATGTAAATAAATAAGTTTTAATTTTGATTTTTTTTTTAAATCTATTTTTAATATTCTCTAAACCGAAAATCAATATTCTTTTATCCTACAATCATATAACACTAATAAACTTATTATAATCATCGTATGAAGAGAAGAGTCGTTTCAAATTAAGCATACTAGCTAATGTACGTTATGATATAATAACACCTTAAAAAACTCTTAATATATAATCATCATATGAAGAGGGGTCATTTCAAATTAAGCATACCAATGATATGATATAATGACACCTTAAAGAAACTCTTAATATCTTTAAAATAATATTACGGGTCAAAAATAGTGATTTGAAAATTTAGAGGGATAAGAGTTAAAGAAAAAAAAATTGTCAAATAGTTTTGAAATAACAGGGTCGACAGAAAGAAATTGGAAACATACCAAGGAATGACCAACATAGTGAAGTTTCTGACCAGTGTTGTTGTGCACATACTTGACAAAAGCAGGAAGATCATAACTAGCCAACTCATCCCATGACCAATTCCAATAATCCTACACATAGCAATGAACAAAAAATTATCCATTTGAGTAGTTATATATATGTATATATATATATCAACTGGTTTAATCAAAGTCAAAATGTTTAACAGAAGTAAAAGAACCGCGTCATTAGGACTCAGTGATCTGTGGCCGCGGCTAGATATTGTCCCACGAGTGTTGGCAACCCACACATCATATCCACTGTCTGCTAAGACAAAACCTAATGACTCTTCTGGAGGGTTTACCAGCCATGTTAGGGCATCCTGAAACCACACAACACAAATTAGTTATCAAAGTTTTGAGTCAGAGTTGTTCTTCTATGTTATTTCAAGGTTCCTGTTAGCTATTTTCGAGAAAAATTAACTATAGAAATATTCACAATAATAGAATATAAATTAATCCTATAAAAAAAATATGACGTTATTTTTAATTCAAAACCTTAAATAATTAGGTTATCAATATTTTTTTTATAATTTCCTAAACTCCAATTTCTATCCAATATGAAAATTGTATATAATTGACTATTGAAAGTAAATAAGTAAACTTTTGTACATATATCTATCCAAATCATATTTAATAGAGTCGGTCACCTCACCGAAAGAATAACTATTGATTCTGATCCAGCGAGTTAATAAAATGGAGATTTTCAACACTACTACAAGAATCAACAACACAGAATATAACATTATCTTTAACCTAAAAACTTTAAAACATTATCTTTAACCTAAAAATTTTAAAACTTTAAGAGATAGAATTTTTTATTTTTTTATCTAAAAAACTGGAAATTGTATATATTTAAATACTAAACTATACAAAAATAAATAAGGAGACTTCACGTATCTATGGCTTAACACAACTTACACAAAAGAGACCATGTTGTAAAAGCACCGGTGGCTTGTTGGCTTTGAGACCGGACCGTCCTGCCGGCAACCTCTGCAGACTCAGGATGTAGCCATCGTCTGTCTCAACCTGCTCCAACCAAAAAATCCATAATTGAAATGCCTTCATAATCATTGGCAAGTGAATTCAACAGAACAAGAGAGCACATGTAGGACTACGTACCGTATGTTCTTCACATGGGTAACCTCGTGTCCCTACTGCTGTTTGGCAGATACCATCAACATGAAAATCATGATTAATAACTGAAGAGGGTATTGCCTGAAAAACTTTTCTTCCTTGTGCTGCTGTAATGCAAAGGAAGACTACTGAAAACAAGCTCATCACTGTGTTGGCCATTGGCAATGTGTGGTTTTTTCTGATGCTTTGATAAACAGAAAATGGTGCCATTTTATAGGCTTTTGCAGTGCAAAGACAAAGACGAATAGGATTGTGCTTGTGCATGTTAATTGTTGTAAATAATTTTTTATGCTCATATTAGATATATTTTCAATAAAAACTGTCGGTTAAACGTTAATTTTTCTTTTAAGACAATAATACCGGTGGTTATCAATGACATGTAACTTCTGGTTACTATATTTAGAGACTTCATTTGTCTTAAATGTGTTCATTCTTTTAATGTTTTGAAAGTGTTGTCCAACAAATATCATTTTCATTACTTTTTATTCGATAGTTTAGAAATTAAAAAAAAAAATATATATATATATATATATATATATATATAATATAAAATAGACAAAGATAACATGAAAAAACAACATTAAAATAGTGCAATTTCAAATCGAAATTACTGATTTGGATCATTTTTAAAAAAAATTACACATATGGGTAGTCAGCACGAATTCGTTTCTATATAATTATTTATAATATTAAATTTATTATAAATAAATAAAATCATTAATATTTTTTATTTATCATAAATATTACTATAATTAATTAATTATAAAAATATTATTAATTGTAATAAATAATAAATATAATAATAATAAGTATTAATTATTTTATTTTTAATATTTTTTCTCTTTAATATTATTTTTACTTTTATTATTATTATTGATTCTATTATTTATTATTAAAATTATCATAATTATTTCCTTTTAATGATAAATTTTATAATAATAATTACATTAAAAATTAAAATTAAAATTCATTAAATAATAATTATTAATAAATAAAAAATTAAGACTAAAAAATAACATAAATTATTAACTAAAACTTTTCATTAATATTTACTATTATTATGATTATATTTATTACTTGATAATTTAATAAAATTATCATTAATAATAATTGTTATTATTTAGTAATAATATTAGGAATGACAATTAAACTCGTACCCGTGGAGACCGATCCATCTTTATCCCGAGTTTAATGGGGGAAAAATCAAGTTGATCAGGGACAAGGTGGGTTCGGATTTTCCCGCTTTAAAAAGTCGAGGACGAGGACTGGGCAGGGACGGGGATGGGTAATGTCTCCGTCTCTGTCCCGACTTTATATTTAAATTTAAATTTTAAAATATTAATATTTTAAAAATATTTTCTTTTTCTTTTTATATTACATATAAGGTCATTTTTTTATATTTCACTATTTTTACTTTTCTTCTACCAATTTTTTAATTCTTTTGTCTTTTTTTAATTTTTTATATCAATTAGTTTATTACATTATTATCTTTCTCTTACCTTTCAATTTTTCACATTTCCTTAATCTCTCTCATCAATTTGTTTTTTTTTTCAATCTTTTCAACCAACTGATGAATACAAAGTTATTTTTTTTCTTCTTTATCTTTTTCTAAATATTTTACATAAATTTTAGTAGTAACAAATATTATTTTATTTATAATTTATATTTATTAGGTTTTATTATGTCATATTTTTTTGGATATTATTATTCTTATTTATCATATATCAAATTTTATTTTAATAAAATAATTATATTTTAAAGGATTAAAAAGAATTGATAATTTAAATTTTTATAACTTTGAACTAATTAAATAAAAATTAACTTATTAAATATTTTCTTACACTACTACAAAATATGTTTTCTACGTCGTCATTTAATGTCACTTAAAGTTGAGGCAATGTGAAAAGTACTTTTAACATCGGTTGGTTAAAAAACGACGTTGAAAGTTGAATGTTGAACACATTCTACGTCGATTTTTAATCAACCGATGTAAAAAGTACTTTCCACGTCGGTTCCCGGATGAACCGACGTGGAAAGTCTTTTATTGACACATTAAAAGTCTGGTTCTAATTATAATCGATGTAGAAAGTGTTTTTATTTTTTTTCAGAAAAAATTCGCTTAAGTTAGAGAATTGTCACTGACAATAGTTGAACCTAGGATCTTAAAATAAAATTAAAAATTGATAGTCCAACCACTAAACTACTAAAATTTTCTGATAATAATTTACAAATAAATTATATTTATATTCAAATAAATATATATATCGTATAAATATATAAATACAAATATATTGATATATTGATATATTTATATATTTATATATTTATATATTTATATATTTATATATTTATATATTTATATATTTATATATTTATATATTTATATATTTATATATTTATATATTTATATACTTATATACTTATATGCTTATATGCTTATACGTTTATATGTTTATATGTTTATATCTTCATATATTCATATATTTATATAGTTATATATTAATATATTTAAATGTTGGATATGTGGGTGCGCTCGAAAGAGAAAGTGAGATTGACTCTCGCTTGAGTGAAAATACGCTCATGGAAATTCACTCGTTTAAGCGAAAATATTTCGCTTGAGCAAAAATTATTACTTTTCTCTTGAGCGAATGCCACGTTTCCCAAATTTATTTTATATTATTATATAAATAAATTATAAAGATTATATTTTGTCATTAAATTACAAACCCATATAAAGTGACTCGTTTACAAATTTGGCATCAAATTTTGAAAACTAACTCGACACACACTTTCACCTTCGAGCATACCCTCACATCCAACATATAAATATATCAAAATATATAAATATATTTGTATTTATATATTTTATATTTATATATTTACACGGATATATATTTATTTGTATATAAATATAATTTATTTGTAAGTTATTATCGGAAAAATTTATTAGTTTAGTGGTTAGATTATTTTCACCTTCCAACTCTAAGGTATTGAGTTTGAATCTTGCTAGTGATAATATAGAACTATATATTTCATATTTTTAAATAGAGTATTATAATAATAATGTTATAAATATTTTATATATATGTATAAATAAAAAATGATTAAATATTTATTTATATATAAAAAATATATTTTTTAAAATAATATAAATTGGGGACTAGGCGAGAACGGAAAACTCAAAATCCAACGGGGATGAGGATTTAATTTTTAACCCCAACGGGGTCATGAGCTGGAATGGGAATTGAGGAGGCAAAACTCGCCCCGTCCCGCCACGTTGTCATGCCTGTTACAATATAAAGATAAAGATTTTAGTTTTTAGTGTAATTATTATAATAAAATTTATTATTAATAAAAATAATTTTAATAATAAATAATAAAATAAATAATGGTATTAAAAATAAAATTAAAAAAAGATTAAAGATAAAAATATTATAAATAAAATAATTAATACTTATTGTTAATTATTTTATTATTATATTTATTACTTATTAACTAAATTATTACAATTATTATATTTATATGATAATTTTAACTATCAATAATTTATTAAATTCTAAATTAATGAACATAATAATAATAATAAGTATTAACGAAAAAATTTAATTGATAATTTATTTTTTTAATGTTAAATTTGTAGTTAATAATAATAGTTATTTGATAATTTTGAAAAAAAAATTGATGTAATTATTATAATAAAATTTATTATTAAAATTTTAATAATAAATAATAAAATTAATAATGATATTATTAATACAAATAAAATTAATATTGAAGATAAAAATATTATAAATAAAATAATTAAAATTTATTATTATTAGTATATTTGTTACTTATTAATATTATAATAATAATAATATGTATAATAAATAAAAATAAAAAATATTTTATTTATTAGTATTTTATTATTAATTATTTTAATTATTTATAATAAATTTAATATTGATAATTATAAATAAATATAAATCATTATATATATATATATATATATATATATATATATATATATATATATATATATATATATTTGTGCTAGCTTGACTTCACTAAAAGAAAAAAAAATCATACTTAGTAGCATGATTCTTTTTTATATTCGTTTAAAATTGTAGCATTTTAGTACTTTTTCCTATAACGCATTAATGTTACTTTTGTAAATATACATTAACTTAAACATGCAAACAAATTAAAAAAAGTAAACAAATTAATAAATTTCAAAGAAATATAGACAATTGAATATTGATGATTAATAATTAAAGAAATGGAAATATCACATTAAAAATAAATTCTATTAATTTGGCACATAATATATGATTGTTTATGGCTATATGTTTATTTATGATGTTTTTATTTTTTTATTATTTTACTCTCTATCTCTATCTTTTCCTTTTTTTTGTTATTGCTTATTGCATTTTACATGTGGAAGAGCTGGGTATTGCAACTATGCTTCTTATACATATATGATTAGTTTTGTTTATTTATTTATTTATTTATATGTTTTTTATTTATTTTCTTTAGCATAAATTCTTGGAATTATTATTGATTTTTAAAAGATTGATCTAAAACAAATTTAAAATAATGTTATGTTGAATTCTTTCATAATTGAAAATTTAATAAAATTGCTGAAAAATATTGATCAATGTTAAGGTTTATATTACGAGATCCTCATTCTATTAATGTCGTTTTTTAAACGTTTTCCCAAGAGGTTTAGCTCTGGTAACATAAACTCTATTTGTTTCTTTATTATCCATATTTTACCAAAAAAAAATTAAACATTTAAAACGTATATAGTATCAATTTAAAATGTGATAAATGCTTCAATATAATTTTATAAAGTTAAAACGTTTACATTATTACTTTCATAAAACTATAATCCTCGGTTTCAAAATATATAACGTTTTAGGTAAAGAAGATTTGTGACATTTTAAAAGTTTAAGATTGTATTAATTATTCTTTTTATAAAAAAAATATCTTTTAATATTTTTAATCTTATATTAATTATGTTAATTTTAAATAATAATTATTTTGTTATATTTTTATTTTGGTTTAATAATTATTCATTTTATATTTTTTTAATAGAAGATTCACAAGTGTGAAAATTCTCATTGGAAAGTTTTACATCCTAAAATTTTGATAAATATATATTTTAGAGTATAAAATTATTGGACAATATGTTATATGATATAATATAATAATTCTTTTATTACTTAATAAAAGAAAATAATAAAGAAAAAAATATAATTTTCCAATAAAATATACATTTTACTCTCTCTCTATATATACGTTTAATTATTATTTTAATAAAATATCATAATATATGAATATGAATATGAATATGAATATGGTTATAATTACATTTTCTTTTCTGCTAAATATACCCTATTAAAAAAAAGTGACATGAAAATCTGATATTTTGCTTGATCCCCAAGCCAAGCAAACTACTAATGTAGAGAATGTCTTATTCTGGTCAAAATAACATTTTCACATATTTATTAGGCCGTTGACCTTTTTCAAATTTTATTAAAAAATAACATAACACATTTCACAGTCAAATCATGAAAATATTTTATATCAAAAACAATTTAAAAAGCAAATAAACTAATACAACACATTGGGTAATTTAAAAATGGGTATAATATTTAATAAACATATTATGTTTCATATAATAAATACTAATATGTTATATTAAGTTTATTAGAACATTGCATATGTATTATAATTTTTTATCATCTACATATTTACCCATAATAGCCTAATAAATAACTAAATATATTTTTAAATATTAGCCTATTTAATTAATTTTCTCAAATTTGTGTGAATTTATTAGAGTTTATATAATGATATTAAATTGACTTAGAAATGATTGATTTTATTTTAACAGCAAAATAATTAGCTTTTAAAGTAGTTCAAAGAAGCAATTAATAGTGACACAAGAAACGAGAATTCTTGGTGACCAAGGAAGCATATTACTTTTATCACAAAAACTAAAATTTGATTTTTAATTAAAGAAATATGTAATTTTGTGTTTTTGTTTTATTCAAATCTTTTTACGAAAATGAAAAATCACGAATAGTAAATGAATCAGTGCCAGTGTACCAACAAAAGTTTCCTCCAATTTACAAGGATATTAAGGCAATAATATTTCTTAATATTTAATACATTAATATTTATTTAAAGTAAAGAAACACAAAGTGAAACCGGTAACAGAACATGCTATAAAACAGAGATTCTCTTCCAAAAAAACATTCTCAGATAGAAGAAATACTCTGTCCTTTTGGCTGCCATGGAATATGAACAGAAAACCATCACCACCAAGTTGGTGAAATCCAAATTTTTCTTGCCCAAAGTGATTCGTATTTCAGCCACGGATCACGATGCCACAGACTCCTCTAGCGAGGAAGAAGATGATGAAGAAGGGTCTTTTCACATTCACAGAGTTAAGAGAGTTGTTAATGAGATAAGAATTGTGTGTGTCAACAAGCAAAAAAGACACAACAACAATAGTTGGTGTGATGAAACTAGAGACAATGAAAGTGTGGAACTTCAACAACAACATTACACAGAGAGTATAAAGCAGCAGCACAAGTTTCGCGGCGTGCGCAGACGACGGTGGGGCCGTTGGGCCGCCGAGATAAGAGACCCTTTCCGGCGAACGCGAATGTGGCTTGGAACCTTTGACAGCGCGGAAGAGGCTGCTATGGCTTACGACAGAGCCGCTATTAGCTTCAGAGGTGCTGATGCTGTCACTAATTTAATCAAACCTCCGCCAAAAGACTGTGAAAGTGTTGTTAAACCGACGAGTTGTTGTGCATGTTCTTCACCCACTTCTGTTCTGCTGTTTCAGCCTTGGATGGAACCTTTGTCTTTGGAAGAAACCTTCAAAGAAGAAGAAGTGTTTAATGGGTTAAATGATGAAGTTGATGGTTTCTTGTTTTCTGATCATGCATTTTTCGATCAACCTCTTCCTACCCTGTTTTCTGATGTTGATGTTTCTTTGGATGAGGATCTTGAATCGTGTAAATGGGATGTAGATAATTATTTCACCGATGATGCTTTGCAATGATGAGATGTGGATTGTTACTAACAAACTGGGTTGGATTTTTGTTGTGAGATGAATCATTTTATGTTGCTGAGTGAGAACTTAGTGTTCTTGGGAGGACTGAGTAATTGTCAAACTGAGTTTAGTTTATGTGGAAAAAATGTTGTATCTTTGTACTTAGTTTATTCAAAAAGATGTTTATTTATTTGTTCTACCAAGAAACTTGGAAATAAAGCATGTCACAGTGTTCACTCTTAACCCCCAACTCTTGATTTTCGGAATTGTTAACATGTAAATAAGCATGTTACAATGGAGCATGGATTTATAACAAACTGTGGTGGATTTTTTTTCTCCAAGATGAATCCATTTTATGTTACTGAGAGAATTTTAGCCTTCTTGGCAGGACTGAGTAAGTGTTAATTTATGACTTTGTAGTTTCTGTGGAAAAAAAATGTATCTTTGTATTAAGTTTACTCTTCCACTAAGAAATTAGCATATAGGCATATTATAGTGTGGTTAACTTTGTTATCTGATAAATCCCAAGTTTTGATCCATTTTCTTGTTTTGAGATATTTTTCTTGAGGCATTATGATGCACTGCGCAAACGTTTTGGACCAGCCATATGGCATTATGCATAAAGTGAGTCCACATGTCATGTTCAATGGTTGAGCACCTAAGGCACTTCAGGGCCACACATACTGCATCTTGGACTTTTGGCTTTTCCAACCACAATGTTTTTGTGGTGTGCACTTCATTGGAAATGAAATGAGTCTAGTGTTTATATGTTATTGTTAATTTAGTTATGTTAAAGTCACGTTCTCATGTAACTAGCCATGTTTGAAGGAACCACATAGGCTTGCCTGATAAATTTTGTTCTTATACTTTCCAATTTCACATTTTAAAACAGAGACATGCAAGTTGGTGTGATTCACATGGAGTTTGAAATCACAATGTCAAAATCCTTAAAAGTATAGTTACCATTTTGAATCTTTTATTACCAAGTGACAAATGGTTTGATTTTTCTGTGATGAAGTTTGGATTTAACCTCTCCTAATAAATAAAAAATAATGATTAGAGTTTGAGTTTGAGTTTGGGTTTTATCCCCTCAAAAGAATTCATCCAACTCAATTCAAAATAGAAAACTAAATTTGGTGATGTTTAAATTAACAGTTCAGAGTGTATCTTTGTCATCAAAGTTTACAAAAAAGAGGGGTATAAGAATAATTTGCCTTTTCCTTCATCTTGAAATTTCCTCAAATGAAGAAAGTATCAGGGTTTGACTCAAATGACAAAGATACTGGAAAACTCTAATTCTGTTGCTTTTCTGAAAAGATGTTCACAATAGGGACCAATGACATGCTTCCATCATTAATTTGGCGTTGATATTTATGATTCTTAAACATCACCTTTTGAAACACAGGCATGCAAGTTGGTCTGATTTGGATATCATTCCCTCAGAGTTCATGCATCTGACAAAGAAAAAGTTCCCTCTCTCCAATTCTTGCACACCAATCCATTTTTAGCAGAATGTTGACTGAGCTTTGAAATCCCTTTGTTCATGGAAGTTTGATTCAACAAGCAAGTTGTTGCAGTTCCATGAAAAAAAGTAACTTATGATCTAAAATTAAATAAACACAACAGCTACTTGTAGGATCTCCTTTGTAGCTCACTCTTTCCAACGTGTTTTGGTATGAAGAAATTAAGATTCATGGTTTCTAGAGTCTTGGACAGAACACATGGATCTGCTACATTCAAGAAGGTGCAGTAACTATACAAGGGTCAAGTCAAAGCAATCGGTTATAATTTTTCTCTGTAATGTTTTCAATTAAGGACTTTGCCAAATGTCATTTATAGACATCATAGTTTGTTGATCCCAAATGATTCATTCATATCACCCAACATTCCTATCTATTTGGATCTTGGTTTTGGTTCTAATTAGCATAGTATACCTTCCATACTTCATCTTTTCACATGCAATTCTTCACAAGGTCAATTACGAAGTAGCTTATACCCTTGTCTTATTCAAGATTCATTATAAATCACTACATTGATTCTACTCTCTCTCTCTCTCTCTCTCTCTCTCTCTATATATATATATATATATATATATATATATATATATATAATTTAAAATAAAAATTATAAATTTAATTTTTAATAATTAATTATCTAAAATTATAACTCTTCCTAAATGTTAGACTAAAAAAATATTATAAATAAGAATAATAAATTTTTAATTTTTACTTTTTTAGATAAGTAAAATTCTTATATAAATATAATACACACACACACACACATATATATATATATATATATATATATATATATATATATATATATATATATATAACAAGTAGTTAATAATTTACTAATAATTAATTTCTGTTGGAAAAAAAAATCTGATTAACTGTTATCTTTGGAAGAGTCTCTTTTCATTCTCATGATTTTCTCGTCCACAAAGTTAAAAGTCTAAACTTGTTCTTCATGCAACTCCATAATTTTTTCCTCTACCCTATGATCTATATAAAATATCCTTTTTATTAATTTTTATTTAAAATCTTAAAAAGTTTTTTCACCCTCAGCATTCCACTGTACTTCCATATCTTCTATGCACCTCCATAACTCCTCCATCTTCATTCCTTGTACTTCCATTTTTATTAAATATACTTTTCGGTCCATATTGATATAGAAAATGTTAATGTATTTGTATCTATTACAGAATACTCATCTCAACATCTATCAAAAAATAGATTGAAAGTGTATATAAAAATCTGAATTGTTGAATCCAAAATATATTTGCTCACTAAAATAAGTTTTAAAATAATTAATTTAAAATATATTTTTGAAGTACCTAATTTAGAAATGTATTCTATATTATTTATTCTAGAACTCATTTCTAGATTAGAGGTTGTCGAAATATATTTCTAAGTTAGTTTGGAAATGAGTTCTGAACGAAATACATTTTTAAAATAGTCAATTTAGTATATATTTCCAGAATAATATATTCAAAATGTATTTCCATAATGTTTAATCTCAAAATTCATTTCGAATGAGTTGTTCTAAAACTTATTTACAAATTAGTTATTCTAAAGACGCATTCTTGATTAAACTTTTCTTGAGTTATAAATCAGTCAATCCGACCTATTTTTTTTTTCTTGAAACACTCAATCTAAAAAAAACTTAAAAATAAGGGTAAAATAAACTTTATCTTAGGAAAAAATTATGTCACTACAGAAATAAATAACCATCATCGTCATCAAAATTTTCCACATACTGGGCCAAAATTTGTAAATCTTGACCAACCCATAACACAGCAGGCCCACTTGCTTGACTATTATTCCAATAAAAATGTCTTTAGGCAGAAATTTTCAAATTTTAAATTTTGAAATATTAGAAACTCAATTTGTTTTTATCTAAAGTTCTTATATTTTAAATTATATATAGAGATAGATAAATGTCAATTAAAATTTCTTATATTTTCAATTTTTAAGTTTTGATACGGAAATTTAATTTCTATATATCCAATAAAATTAAAATTTTAAATTTAAATATTTTATGTTAAGGAATAGAGATAGTATAAGAAATATGAAAAAATATATAAAATTTGGAATTTTTTTATTTTTAATAATTGGATATTATAAATTTCTAAAACTTTAGTTTGGTCTTAAAGTATTCATAAAAGAATTAAATTATCTATAAAAATAATTACACTCTAAATATTTATCTTTCAAATATAAAATAATATATTTTCCTCCCGCTAGACTTGTACAATTCTCAATTCCAACTTATTACATTTTAATTTCTTTTATTTAAATTTTCCATGGTTTGTCTGAATATACAAACACTATAAGAAAAAAACATTTTAGCGACCGAAAAAATCGGTCGCTAATGCCAATAATCGGTCGCTAATCGTTAGCGATCAAATTAGCGACCGAAATGCGTAGTCGCAAAAAGCCTAGTCGCTAATGTGTTAGCGACCGATTTTCATTTCGGTCGCAAAATAGTGACCGATTTTATTTCGGTCGCAAAATAGCGACCGAAATTAATATATCAAATTGGTCGCTAATTCGGTCGCTAAATAGCGACCGATTTAAATCGATCGCTAAATCAATGATAAAGGTAAAAAATAGCGACCGATTTAAATCGGTTACTAAATCAATGAAAAAGTTAAAAAAATAGCGACCGATTTAAATCGGTCACTAAATCAATAACAAATTTAATTATTTATATTTATTTACATTTTTATTATATTTATTATTTATTTTCCCTACCTCTTAATTATATTATATTTTTGCTTATTTAAGTTTTTATTTATATTTATTTCTCCTATCTCTTAATTATATTATATTTTTTAGAAGTTTAACTTATTATTAGTTGATTTATTGTCATTGTCGAGATTCGAACCCGGTACCTTAGAGTTGGAGGTCTGAAACTCCAACCACTCGAGCTACTAGGATCTTTTAATAATAACTTACAAATAAATTATATTTATATACAAATAAATGTATATCCGTATAAATATATAAATATAAAATCTATAAATAAAAATATATTTATATATTTTAATATATATTTAAATATTGATATATTTATATATTGATATATTTATATCTTTATATTTTTACATATATTTATATTTTTATATATTTATATCTTCATATTTTTACATATATTTATATCTTTTCATATTTATATATAAAGATATTAGTTTTCTATATAAATAATATTATAATATAGTATATTATACTATTAGTATAGTATACAAATAATATATTAGTATAGTATAGTATACAAATTATTAATTTTGTAATTTATATACAATGAAAATAATATAATGGTATATTAGTATAGGATAGTATATTTGTATTCTAATTTTTAATTAAATTAAAATTATGCTAATAATGTATATTAATATATGAGGGGATAATATTGATATATTGATATATTTGTATATATATATATATATATATATATATATATTTATATATTTATATATTTATATATTTATATATTTATATATATAT